CGAGTTTGTGACAGGGTGGGGCCCCAGCCACAGCCATTACAGGAGGCTGTGTGCCCCGTGAACGGAGCACCCGGGCTGCTGCTGGCCTTGCAGGGTCCTCTGCTGCGTTTCAGCTTCCTTTCGTGAGACCTGTAACCACAAGTCCTCTACGAGACTTAGCATAAAAAAAGGGTTTTTACGGGAACAGGTCTTTCCGTCCACGTTGAGCCTGTAGCCCGGGTTGCATTCACAGTAGAAGGAGCCGAGGGTGCTGACGCAGCTGTGCTGGCAGCCGTGCTCCTGCTCCATGCACTTGTCCACCCCTGCAAGACAGAACGGGCATCAAAGTGGCCCACGGGCACGCCGGGTTGCACGGGGACCCCAGCTCTGGCACGTGCCCTGTCCTTGCAGCTGAAGCCGCTGGGACGACCCACACAGCCCGAACCCTTCCAGCCCCAGCGCTCACCCGCTGATTTCCAGAGCACAGACACAGACGCTGTGTGGGGCGGGTTTCTGAACCACCTCGGCTTTCAGAACTACCCGCGTGCTAAATCAACGCTCAATGTTAACCGATACTGTCGATAGCGTGAGCTGAGCAAGCAAAAGCTTGAGCTCAGCCGGAACGTGCTGAAGGAGCCGGGTCTGCATGTCCCTGTGGCCAGGAGCCTGCACCAGGGCAGGCAGGCAGCGGGCAGGGCGTTATAAGCAAAGGCATCAAGTGCAGGAGCACACCAGGGCCCCGGGGGGCAATATCTGGTCAGCCCTGGACCCCCCGCCCCAGCGAGCAGGGACTCACCGCGGCACTAACGCAGCCCTGCAGGCATGCACGTGCCCCTGGCTAGGAAACTCTGCCTGGAAGATGCTGGCCGCTGCCTTCTACCGCTGCCTTCTGCCCTTCAACAGATGCTGAAGCATGTGAGCAAGGTCTTGCCAGCCCGCTGCAGCGCCAGGTCTCCGGCAAAGCCCGCCAGCATGGCGGGAGGCAGGCAGGGCTCGGCTTTTTTTCGACCCGCGCCAGCACGGCCGCGGTGCAAACCAGCCTCCCGGCTCCCAGCCGAGACCGGCCAGACGCTGCAGAGCAGCACCGCGCGGCCAGCGTTTTATTAAACACAAATGTGCATGCAGCAGATGCCATGCACGTGTCTGCGTAGGAGGAGACCCGGCTAGAGCCACGTCGAAATGTACACGAGGCTCTGGGACGTGTCACCCATCCCCGTCACACCCAGGGAAACCGGCTCCACATTTCCTGCTCTTTGATATGCCCATCACGGCTACCATGACGTCCTGGCTTGGGGCAGAGCTACCAGGCACGGGTGAAGAAAAGCGCTGGCTTGCAATGCTTTCAAAGCTTTCCTTATCTCATCCCAGGAAAGGTGAGCAAGAGGAAGGGCCACCGGTCCCAGCACCTCATCGAGGAGGTTGATTCCCTGTCCACGCTGCTCCTAGCAAGGGCAGCCACCCCAAACACCGCTCTGAAGGTCATCTTCTAGCCTGGGTGAGGAGCAGGCACCAGGGCCACCCTCGCCACCCCTCACTCACCACAGAGCTTGTCCTGGAACTGCTTCCCGAACTGCTGGATGAGCTCGAAGGACTCCACCAGGAAGACGTGCTCCTCCAGCGCATGGCCCGCAGCGAGTTCATGTCTGCCCGCTGGATGCCCACGGCATAGATCTCGATGCCAGCGTTCCGGGCCTGGGTGGCCACCTCGGTGACACGGTCCTGGGGCCGTCCGTCTGTCACGATGATGGCGATGCGGGGGATCTTCTTGTGCAGAGGGCGCGCGCCCTCCTGCGTGGTGAAGGCCACATTCATGGCGTACTGGATGGCCAGTCCCGTCATGGTGCCCTGGGCCAGCGGGACGATGCTGTTGATGGCCTTCTCCATGTCTGCCCGTGTGAAGAAGGTCTTGAGGGAGAAGATGTTCTGCACCTGGCTGGAGTACTGGATCACCCCCACCCGCGTGGCATTGGGGCCCACATCCAGGCTGCCGATGATGTCCATCATGAACCGCCGCATGGTCTCGAACTCGAAGGGGCGCACGCTGCGGGAGCTGTCGATCACAAACACGATGTCCAGGGGACCTGTCCTGCACTTCAGGGCTGGAAGGGGGCAAAGAGACGGTTCAGCCTCACGGCCACCTGCGGGAAGCAGGGCTGGGAGCAGAGACATCCCCATCGTGTGGCTTGAGGGTGCTCAGTGAGGGACAGAGAGGGCAGGTCTGGGCAGCCCCCACAGACCAGCACCTTCCCACTGCCAAATAAACCCGTGGAGGGTGCCGGCAGAGCGGGAGCAGGGGCGACAGGCTGGGGAGACGTGCCCCGGCCAGCCGGCAGAGCGGGAGCAGGGGCGACAGGCTGGGGAGACGTGCCCTGGCCATGGGGCTGTGGGGAAATGGCAGTGTCCCCTCCTCCCTGACACTGTCCCTGCAGCCAGACCCAGCTCCTGCTCCCTGCATTTCCACAGCCGACAGCCCCAGGGGCTGCGGAGACACCTCTCTCTCTGTCGGCACCTGCCCTGGCAAGGTTTAGGCACAGGTTTAGCCGGTGGTGTCTTCATCTCTGCAGCAAATCAGAGCATTAAAGTGTAAAACAGCCCAGCGCCCCGTGCTGTCCTCTGCAAGCTGCAGCTCCTGCTCCAGACCTCTGCGCCGCACGGGCTCCCGCTGCTGCGGTGCCAAGCAGGAAAATGCTGCTTTGGGCAGTTCTTCTGTTCCCCCCGCAGCTCCAGCCTCCCCTGTTTTTTACTCCATTTTGACAGCTTCTGCCTAAAACGAGGGCTTGCTCTGTTGTTTTCTTGGGTGTTTTTTTTAAGGGCAGAAAGTGAGACAGTGAAAAGCACAGCTAAGGGCATGCACATGGTGGGGATTGGGCCAAAGAGCCTGTCTTGGACATACGGGTGCTACTTCCAGTGCAAACCAGGAGAATGTTTAGCAAGTGAAATGCCAATGAACATATTTTTCTTGGCTTGTGTGTAACCAAGCCTGGGAGAATTTGGCCCTAGTGGTAAGCAAACACTTTGAGTCCCCTTGGGATGATGCCCAGACTTGGGCTGTCATCTCAACTGCTCCAAAGGTCTCTGAGACATACCCTGCTCCTTCTCCGCTCGGTGCCTTTACTGTTTTTAAACTAGAATTAATCTCATTCAGCTCCCTCTGCCCTGGGAGGAGAGAGGCTGGTACCCCTGGGTTTGCTTTGTCCCCCTCATCAGGAGACCCGTGCAGGGAGGGGGTTCCCCCTCATGCTTGTGCCTCCTGCCGAGGTCGGAGCCCATGGGCAGGAGGGTGACAAGCCCTCAGCTGGGCTGTGTCAAAGCTGCGGATGTGCCCAGAGCAAGTGGCACCAGACCCACCATGGTGGGGCCAGGCTCGGGCTCCCGCTCCCCTGGGCAGCACTGGGAAGTTTGGGTCCCACAACCTGGGGGGATCCTCCATCCTCCTGGGGATGTCTCCAAAGAAGAGGCATCAGGTCCCCCCAGCTCAAGCAGCAAGCTGTCCTCTGAGGGCTTCACTGCCCTGACGCTCTCACTTCTCTCTCCTGCAGGCAATTCCCACCGGCCGGGGCTCACCTCCAGTTTTTGGTCTGGCTTCCAGCGTCGTCAGGAGAAGCAGGAGAAGAGGGGCAGCGGGCAGGAGCTTCATCACGGCTCTGCGAGACCACACAATTCCGGGGCTGGGGTGCTCACTGTGGGAAGAGGATGATGTGCAGTCAGTGCTGAGGGTGGGCTGAGCCACAGGGTGACGTTCACCTGTGGTGGGTGTCCCCAGGCAATACCAACTACTGGCAGCAGCAGTTTTGACAGACCCATCCCCAAACTTCTCCGAACCCACGCAGGTTCTGGCAGTCTCAGCATAGCTAAATTTCATTACAGTAGCAACGATCTGCCAAAGGGTCTGATTTTCTGCTCTGGGTGGAGCTGGCCATCGGACAAGCCTTATTTTCACTTGCAAACCAGGCGGATGGGATGTTCAGCCAAATGTGTTTTCACTGGCAGCACGGCTGCTCTCCACAGCCAGCCGGAGGGTGGGAAAGCTGCACTCGGGGCTGCGGAGCACCGGCCCTCCTGACACTCCCTGCGCACGGCAACGTGCTGGGAAGAGAAGCCCCCGGATGAAATGCCGGCACAGACAAAACCTGCTCAGAAGTCTCTCAAACTCACTGGTAAAGACCATTTTTCCAAGCAGCTCCACAAATTTGTTCTCTGCCCTTTTCCAAACTACCTTTGGAGAGCAGAAGCCTCCGCAGGCACAGGGTGTAACGGTGCCTGTGGGGATGGGCTTGCACCCATTCCCCCGGGCAGCGTGCTCCAGCCTTCTTCCCATCACCCCGGGGACCCCACCCCTCTGTCACCCACACTTTGCAGCTCTCCCCATCCTGCTGGCTTTTCCAAGGGGTGCTCTGCACCCTGACAGTATTTTCATTGAAGAGGGCTAGTTGGGGGAAAAGGTATTTAGACCGGTTACCCAAAACCTCAGCTTGTCACCTGTCTCCCTCCCTGCCCACCCCCGCGTTGCCTTGCCCTGCCTTTCCCTGCCCTTGCCCGACTCCTGCAGTGACACGGATTTGTTTAGTTTATTTTTATTCCAGCTCTGGTTGGAAACCCAAGGTGCTGGGGGAGGAAATGCCACAGTCAACGTGGCTTTCCCCAGGAGACGTGCAGCGCCGCAACCCGGCACAGACACTGGAAAGGTGCTTTTGAAAAAAAGCACACGGCAGTTCATTTTATCAGTAGTTATTGGCCAATATTTATTTAGCCCTAGGAGGTCTCAGTTGTAATTAATCACCAGGGTTGCCATTTAATTGCTCAGTGGTTACGTACAGCCCTGAACCTAATGTATTTGATAGCAGCGATGCTGATAATAGGTTTCACAGCTGCATCTTAAAGTTGTCTCCAGACTCAGTGTTCACACCTGAAAAATTATATGGAAGAATTAGAAGGACAGAAAAGAGCTACAAGAGGCAACTGGGATCCCGAAAACCAGTCTCAAAGTGGG